AAATTAGGGTTTAGAAGAGGAAGAGCTGCCAGAAGGGGAAAAATTATTCGTGGATGGGTCATCTCGAGTGGTAGAAGGAAAACAGAGATCCGGATATGCAGTGATAAATGGGAAAGATTTGGAAGTGGTTGAGTCAGGCACACTAGACAAAACTTGGTCTGCTCAAGCATATGAGCTGTATGCGGTATTGAGAGCCCTGAAACTGCTGAAAGGAAAATCAGGAACAATTTATATGGACTCTAAGTATGTGTTTGGAGTGGTTCACACTTTGGGAAAAATCTGGGAGGAAAGGGGCCTCATTAATTCACAAGGAAAAGGGTTAGTACATGAATCATTAATAAAACAAATGATGGAAGCCTTAAGAGGCCCAGCCCAAGTAGCAGTAGTACATGTCAGAGGCCACCAAAAAGGAACCACCAGTAAAATAAGAGGAAACAACTTAGAAGATGAGGAAGCAAAACGGGTGTCTTTACTATCAATAAAAGTGATTCCAAGTGAGATTAAGGATAAGTATGAGGACAAAGATAAAAAGGGGTTGAAGTTCACTAACCAAGAAAAGGAAAAATTGAGACAAATGGGAATATACGAGAAAGAAGGAAAGTGGGAACTCCCTGATGGCAGAGAAGTGCTTCTGAAATTGATGGCCTGGAGAATTATGAACAACTTCCATTGTAAGACCCACTGGGGAGTACAGACGCTAGTAGACCAATTTTCTACTAAATATATGTGTATAGGAGTATACAACATAGCCAAAAGAATTTTAGGAACTGTTTAACATGCCAAAAGGTCAGTAAACAGCAACTGAGGGACAGAACTCCAGGAGGACGAGAGTTAGCTCACAGGCCCTTTTCAAAGATCCAAATTGATTTTACTGAATTACCAAAGGTAGGAAGGTATAAGTATTTGCTAGTAATAACAGACCATTTAACCCATTATGTGGAAGCCTTCCCCACCACTCGAGCAACAGCATCGAGTGTAGTTAAGATCTTATTAGAGAACATTGTCCCTAGATATGGGAACATTGAAACTATAGATTCTGATTGGGGTCCACACTTTGTGTCCAAGACCGTGAAGGAAACATTAGCCCCAATGGGAACCAAATGGGAATACCATGCTCCGTGGCACCCCCAAAGCTCTGGAAGAGTTGAAAGAATGAATGGGGAAATAAAGAAGCAGTTAACCAAGTTAATGATGGAAACTAAGATGTCCTGGGTTAAATGTTTACCCCTGGCCCTACTAAATGTCAGAACCCAGCCTAGAATACATACCAGAATATCTACCTTTGAAATGTTGTATGGAATGCCCTATGACCTAGAGGTCCCCTTAGACCATACTAGACTGGAAGATGGATATTTAAAGGAGCATATTACTACTATAATGACTCGCTGCAATGAGTTAAGAAAGAAAGGAATGGTAGTGCAGAGACCACCACTAGATGTCACCATATACTCAATCCCAGAGATAAAGTCCTAATTAGGACCTGGAAGGAATCATCTTTGACCCCTTCTTGTCTTACGACAGAAACTGCAATTCGAACAGTGGAACGAGGGTGGACTCATACAAGCCGAGTGAAAGGACCGATCCCCGAGGAACTGTGGGAGACTACAGGGACCCCGGGGGACCTATGGCTCAGACTGCACAGAAAGAGACTGGATGAGTAAAACTGTGTTTTGTAATACCCCACATTGTATTTGTTACCCGCTTTTATGTTTTAAATGCAAACTATGTAAAGAAAATTGGTGGGTTCATTGTAGAAACAGCTATTCCCCTAGGGATTGCTGCAACCAGTGCTATGAGACAGAGAGATCTTCAAGTGAACAAGCTCTAAGGATAGGAGTAGCCACTAGGAAAATAATAGAAGACTCTGCAGTCTGGTGGAAAATATTTGCAGAAGGAATAAATCCGGAAAACAGGTGCATACATGCTAATGAACCCCGAAACTTTACCCCGGAAATTTTGAGAGTAGTTTGCAGAAAGCAACTACATCAAACACCTTGCGGGGCACCTCAGGTGAAAGCAAAACACTGGGAGGCCTATAAAATAAGGAGAGGGATAGGTGGGACCCCTGAAGAATATGACTGCTGCCGTGAAGATGGAACACCTCGTTGCTCTTGGCAAAAAGAGTAGGCAAAGGAGGCAGAGGAGTAATGATGTGGGGCTGTAACTCCCAATCTCTCTACACTGACCAGGCCTTTCCGGGTCAACAAGAGGAGACTTCACCTCAGAGGGATCAAAGGCATGACACCCAGGATACTAAAGGGATAACACATAGAGAAGGAGAAATAAGACTTTTAAACCATACCAGGAACCCACCAATTATCTTAAGACTATGGATAGCGTTGTGGATAATTGTTTGGCTCATTTTTTCCATGAATGCTGAAATGGGTAGGAATAACCCTCATGAGCCCTATAAATGGTCCTTGATATGATGGCAGGATCAACAGGTAATCCAGACACAGGTAACCACAGGCTCACCAAGCTTTACCTCTCAATTGTGCTAGCTTGTACCAATAGAACCTTGCTTAGATTTAACGGGATTTTATTTTTGTCCCAGTTCTAACCCTGGGAAAGGATACTGCAACTGGACAGGTCAATACTTCTGTGCATATTGGGGATGTGAGACAATTGCCCCAGATTGGATAAGTGGAGGTGGTGATGACAAATTCCTGAAAGTGGGATGGGGACCCACGGGATGCAAACTGCCCCGAAGAGATCGGAGTGGAGGGATAATCCACCTGTATGGTATAAACATATATTCCTAAATATATCCCAGCCAGAAGACCAGGGCTGGATAGTTGGAAAAAACCTGGGGAATGAGGTATTGGGAACCAGGAACAGATAGAGGGGGACTCATTTATATAAAAAAGGAAAAAGCAGAGCAAACAACCCACTCAATAGGACCAAATTCAGCGATATCTGAGAAAGAAAGAGTAATAGAACAGAACACCACTGAAACTGAAATCTTTAGTGTTTCTACGGGAACAAGTAAGCCTAAGTGTACTAAGCATATAGAGCCCAAAGAACCTGAGAATCCCCTCTAGAAATTAATGCAAGCTAGCTACATAGCCCTGAACTCCACCAATCCGAATGTAACAGAGCATTGTTGGTTGTGCTATGACATCAGACCCCCTTTTTGAAGCTATAGGAGTACCAACTGCGGCACAAGCAGCTAATGGTACCAATCCAAGTCAGTGTTTATTGGAAAGGAGGGGGCAAAACCAAGGGATTACTCTACAACAGGTTACTGGTAAAGGAGTATGTATAGGGAATATTCCCCCATCAAAGAATTCCTTGTGTAATAACATCATGTTCCTTCCCCAAACACCTAGCGAATGGTTAATACCTGCTAACGGTACCATGTGAGTGTTCTAGACTGGAGTTACACCTTGCCTGTCCCTAAAGGTGTTTAATGGTTCTTGAGATTACTGCATCCAGGTTGCTCTAATTCCTAGTATTTCCTGTCACCCAGGGGGAATTTTTATTCAACCACTGGAACTCAGAAACACAAGTGAGTAAGAGAGAGCCCATTACTTTTACAGCTTTGACAGTAGCCACCCTTATGGCAGTAGGGGTCAAAGGGGCTGGAACAGGAATAACATCTTTAGTACAACAAAACCAAAAATTCCAAGATCTCCAGGTAACAGCAGATGAGGACTTAATTAGGATTGAAAAATCAATTTCTGCTTTAGAAAAAATCTCTCTCAGGTCATTATCTGAAGTAGAATTAAAAAATCAGAGAGGTCTAGATTTAGTATTCCTCCAGCAAGGAGGATTATGTGCTGCCCTAGGTGAAGAATGATGTTTTTATGCAGATCATACTGGAGTAGTTAGAGATACCATAGCCAAATTAAGAGAGGGACTAGAGAAACGAAGAAGGGAAAGAGAGCAGCAGCAGAGCTGGTATGAGTCATGGTTCAGTCATTCCCCATGGCTAACAACACTGTTATCAACCATAGCTGGACCCCTAATTTAGTAATTTTGGTATTAACATTTGGACCTTGTATTTTTAATAAAGTAGTGGCAATTGTAAAGAATAGATTAGAAGCAGCCCACTTAATGCTTGTAAGGAGACAATATGAACAAATCGGGAAAAACAAAGACAGGACAAGTGAAACCCTTATTTTGGAAATGGCAAGAGATGTAGTAAAAAGATTTGATGAACAAAATGGTGAAAAGAAAAAAGGGGGGATTGTAAAAAGCAGGCATTGTTAATCAAATCTTAGAGATTGTGAAACCATGGTTGAACAACCATGGCAGTAGGCATAGTTTCCAACCACCGAACATCCTGTAATGTAAACAGACATAATCTTTTAAGGCATTCATTGATGTAGGGGACCATATAGAACTAATTATAACTATATGTCTTATATATATCTTATGGGTAGTCAAAGAATATAGTCACGTAACCACATAGCTTAGAGAGAATAATTAATAGAAGAGGAAACCAGTTTTTCTTTCCCGAACGTGAGGGGCTCTCTCAAGGGATTGATTGTAGGGAACACGAATTAGATAACAGGATGGCACCCGTTACAAATATGTCCGTAAATCTCCTTGCTTAGGGAAAACAAATGGTTAGCAATTAACTCAGACTGCTAAGAGCACTGCAAGCTTGCAGGATCATCACATTCCAGACAAAGGGTGAAAATTACACCATGGGGAGGACATTCATGCTAAGCTCACATAGAACAAGGCAGACTGCACATGAGCCAGAAGAGGGGTTGGGAGCCGGTCATAAGAGGAAGACGTCGGCCTTCATCCCCATGACCACCAGAAGGCAGAGAAAGACCCCCTAGCAACAAGACAACGCATGCGCAGAGTACAACAGGGGGTGACACGTGTACCGGAAAAGAGACTGTATAAAATCCACTCCGAGCTTAAGGAAAGTTGCTAGCTGTTGGTGGAGTGGAGACTCCCTGGCCACCCAGTGCTGTTCTGCTCATTCAT